GGAGGGTTGGGAAAGGGGTATCCTTGTCCTCCATCGTCGTTGATCTTATCCTCCATCAACCCAGTAGCAGATTACACTCCATTTGTAAATCTGAAAAGAAGTTATAAGCTCAGTCTGAATTCTCGTTCTTACCTGCTACTTCTTCACTTAAAGAGCTCCTAACAGGACATGGAAGCAGTGAACACATTTGGATCGACTGAAATGATAACGATTAATTCGAGGAAGAAAGAGCTAAGACATACGATGACCTTCCAAGTCCTTTGACTTAGGCGAGATGGCGGCAGTTACCAGCCCAGTCCTCGTTGATCCTCCATCGAACAGAAGCAGCTCACAATCCATCTGTAAATCTAAAAAGAAGCTCTCAGCTCAGTCTCATGCCTGCTTCTTACCTGCTAATCATTCACTTGAGGGACTCCGAACTGGACAAGGAAGCAGTGAACACATCTGAATCCACTAAGATGATAACGATTAACTAGAGCAAGAAAGAAAAAGAAAAGAACTTCCATGTCCCCTGAACTGAGCTGATGCTCTTAGATACCAACCAGACGTTGTCGTCCTCTTACATCCATCTGTATTCTGCTGCTCATGAACCTGAAGTGACCCAACTTACGTTCAGCATAGCACTCAACCAGACCTGCAACTCATCCACTTGGAACTTCTAACAAGACGGGGAAAGCGGAATCCTATTACTCCATCATCGTTGTTCTTATCCTCCATATCATGATAACAGATTACTCTCCTGTCTTTAAATGTAAACACACAGGATAATACTCAGTTCAACCCTCGATCTTACCTATTACTCATCCACTGAAATTACAACAATTAACTCGTGAAAGATATTAGTAAGACGAACGAACAACTTCCAAGACCCCTCAACAGTGCGAGAAGTTACGAACCCAGTCGTCGTTGAAGTCATCCTAGATCACACAGCCGTAGATGACTGTTCCGCTTGCCTGAAGAACTGAAAATTAACAACCGAGATAATAGTGAATGATTTGAAAGAAACCAAGAATAATAGTTGGTCAAGTCAGATCATACATATTGAGACTTAATATTGAAAGCCCAACCTGTCCTTGACGTCATCCTCTCTTTCCATCAGTACAATCGTCTCTATATGAAAAGCATATGAAAAGCATTGAGACTTACCTGCCATTCATTATAGGAAGTATACTACTCGACGACAGAACTCCTCTCATCTTGCAATATCTGCAGTTGCCACTGACGATCAAAACAAGAAAAAGAGATGTGAAAACGATCAAATAACAACCATTTGACTGCTTAGGGTATGCGACGTGTCAACGCTACATGTGGTATTTGCATTTACACAAATGGTGCTTTCATGTCTCATCTGAAAGATTAGTGCGAGGTCGTGCGTTACAGCACGGAAGAAAACTTTTACCAATTTCATTCTCTACTTCCTTCTGAAGTGAGCGGTGTTAAGGAATTAACAGTAGGTAGAAACTCATAACTCCGCCCCAACTAGTCCAAATCGTTTTTTGAATTGGTCTCTGAAATAAGACAAACATGAATATCAGAACATTAACCATTAGCAATGAATTGATCCTATCAGAATCATTGAACACTTATGTCGGTGGGAACCAGTGCTGAACCACTGCCTTTACTTGACTCAGCAACTGAAAAAAACGCAATGAAGATCTAACCTGTAGCAGTATAGTGCATTGGGAAGGAACGGAAAGAGGAATCCTTTTGTTGCTTCGTCGTTCTTCCTATCATCCATCAACATCAGCAGATTAATTTTCTTCTTGAAAATCTAAAAACACGTAATTACATGTGGCCCAAACTGAGATCATACCTGCTGCTCATTCACTCCCAGAAGTTCGAAAAGGACAAAGGAACAGAGAACACATCTGAGCCCACAATGGATTCAAAAATTGAATTAAGAAAGTGACTAGAAAGACGTGCGATTAACTTCCAAGTCTCCTCAACAATGCGAGAAGCTACGAACCTAGTCGTTGTTGGAGACATCCTTTATCACGC